GGCTCCACTCTGACAGGGTGAAGCATGCTTAGAATTCTCTATCTCTGTACCTCCCTGACTTGTGTTCCTGCGCTCTCACTCTCAAAAATAAAAAATAAATAAAATAAATTTTAAAAATCTCAATCTAATAATTATCCAATAAAAAGCCCTTAGCCAATCTACTTATAGAAAAGATCTGGCATTTTCATTATTAGATGCCTTAAGGCTTTTGCATGTTTGCATATTTTTCTTTTTTTTCTTTTTTCAAAGAAAAAGTTTATTTTTTTGAGACAGAGAGAGAGACAGAGCATGCGCAGGTGAGTGGCAGAGAGAGAGAGAGAGACAGGGAGAGAGAGAATCCCAAGCAGGCTCTATGACGTGGGACTCAATCTCACACCGTAAGATCATGCCCTGAGCCAAAAATCAAGAGTCAGTTGCTTAACCAACTAAGCCACCCAGGCGCCCCGGTTTGCATACTTTTCAATTCAATATTCTCACATCCCATGAGATAAACACCATTATTGCCCATCACTTTAGAATGGAGGAAACGAAGACTCAAAAGGTACAATGGGCTGCCTAAAGTCACATTGCTGTTAAAAGATATAAAGAGTAACTCAGGAAGAAGGCAAAAACCCCAGAAGAAAGAAAGAACATGGATTCTAGTACATGACAAAACCAACTGAAGCTCAATACGGGAAAATAAATGGAATGTGTGAACGTCAGTGAAAGATAGTATTTTTATTCACAAAGAATTGAGGAAGTTCCAAAGACATGAAACCTCTCTGTGCATTGGCAGGAAAAGGCCATATCTAGCTCCCTTCCATCTTGGAGCTTCTGAGCTGCCAGGGCTGAAGATTCTACCCACAGTGCAGCCACAGAGAAGTCCACCGCCTTAGGGCTACAAGGCTTCCCCTATGACTAGAAGACAATGAAACCATCCTGGCTGTCAACAGGACAGAAGGAGAACCAACCAACCACTGGATCTTTAACTACAGTAGTGCTTATGGAAATAAGTACAACGCAGACATAATCCAGGCAAGTTTCAGCTTGATTTTGCTAAGAACAGTCCCTTAGCTTACCATCTTGGAGAAGCTGCCTATGTCCTCATTCTGTCCTCCTTCTTAAATCTACCAATGATGGCTTGTTGGTAGTTACATCTGTTATCACCACAATCTCCAACTGACACAGAGATTGACATACAGGCTGTAGGCTTACTCATTTTATTTATTTATCGATCTATCCCCTTTTACCTCTATACCCCACTCCTACTTCTCTACCTTCCCAAATGCAACCACTTGTGTGAATAGACATATACACATATACCTTTTATCTCGATGTTTATACAATATATATTGCTGCTTCGTGTGCTTGTATTTAAACGTATGTAAATGGAATTATGTCATAGATCTCATTGTTTATATGCCATATCTTATCCTCTTTGAAAGGATCTCATATATGCTATTTTGTGTACCTTGAATCTACTGCTTTTTAAGTTTCACAGTATCCCATTAAGAACACCCAGTTGACCCCAACACCACAGAATTATTGCAATAACCACTATGGACTTGTGTGAGAAATTCCTTGGGATATATACACAGGGGTGAATACTGTTGGGACAGAAAGTATGAATAGACATAATTTAGCTAAGCAGTGCCAAACTGATCTCCACAATGAGAGCATCAATCTGGGGGGAGTGAGAGGGAGAATTTCAGAGTAGAAGCTAGGGTCTAAATCATAACTACTCTACTTGTTACCTGTGTGACTTGAGAATATTACCTAACATATTTTAGCTCCATTTTCTCATGAAATGGATAATTACAGTGCCTATCTCATAAAGTTACCATGAGAATTAAATGAGATTATAATAGATTAAAATGTTTAGCACAGTATTTAGTACTTGGTAGGTAAATAAATATTATCACTGATTATCATCCCCTCCCCACAAGTAAGAGATTTGATTCCCCAGTAGACTCTGAATCTTTACACTAGAAGGTCAGTATAGCTTATCCTTCTTAGTGAACAAAATAAGAGTAGAGAGAATAAGTTTCATGCCCAAGGAGGTTTCATGTTATCAGAGGAGGAATTTGAACATGGTTTTTGGGTTCCGAGGCTACTGCTCCTTCCCCCACACCAGAATGTCCCTGAAATGATTACTGAAAAATAAAACCTGTCCATTGGTATCTGCTCAAACCTAGTACTCTATAGAACATATATACTTCCATCCACTATGTCATGATCTTCTAGGAATTTTCTCCAGTTGTGATGATGGATTTGCATTCACTTCCCTGCCCATACACTGTCAGAGCCACACTGATCTGCAGCCATGGAGCCTGGTGTAGGTGACTGAATCATGTGGAGTCAGCTGACTCTCAAGCCCAGCAAACCCAATGTTGTTCCTTGATAATTTTGTAAGGAAGGCAGACACTGAGATAGTCATTCAAGAAAGAATCAACCATTTGTCTGTAAGAAGCATGGTTGCCTGACAGCCTCCAGCTGCCGGACTTTCAAATGCCAGTCTCAGATCTGGGGCCAAGTATACAATTACACAAACAACCCTGAGCTAGTAAATAAGCAACAGTGGGAGTACTAGGAGCTGGCCACTTGATCACCACGTGGGACTCCTCCGATGGGCAACCTTTACCCCTGAGGTCTGTGTGAGGTTGGCCGAGACTCTGGCAGATTTGCATCCTGATGTGAAGCTCTCCCTGTCCGATCCTACTTTCTCACTCCCTTCTCTTTCAGAGGCATTATCCCCCCACCAAATAAATCTAATTGTAACACTAGTTCCATCTCAGAGCCTGTGTCCAGAAGGACCCACTGACACAGTAAACAGAATACTACACATATTTATACAGTGCTCCCCATTGCCACATGATCAGCTGCCTTTAGGAAAGGCATTACTGGGCACTGTAATAACACCTGGGGCGTGAATGCATGGGTTTTGAACTGTGCATTCAGGCCAAGGCAGCAATTTCACCAACCAAAAATCACAGAGATATTTAAAAACAATTGACAGATACTAGTCTATATTATCTATTTTGGGATGTGATCCAATGTTTACTGAATGTTAAACATTTGTTCTACACAAGCTTTTCTGCTTTGATGCATTCCCTTCAATATATTCTCTAAATTCAATATACATATTAGCTGAAGACGAAGCTAATGAAGACGAAGAAACTGAATATCAGAGAAGGTGTCAGTGTGTTGACCTAAATCACTTTCTTTTCACTTCCAGATTTCGCTTAACCTTCAGATTTTGCTTAAGGGGCCAAAAATGTAACATATTATCACAAACTGTCATTTCATACAATTCTTAATTTATAAATATAAACTGAAGTCAGTTTAAAGCAATGTGTCTTAACCAGAGCTAACTTTGCCTCCCAAGGGACATGTGGCAACATCTAGAGACATTTTTGGTTGTCAAAACTGGGCAGGTGTCAGGGGATGCTACGGGCATCTAGTGGGAAGGACAGGGGCGCTGCTAAATACCCTACATGATCAAGACACTCCCCACAAAAAGGAATTATATGGCTCAAGATGTAAATAGTTTAAAATTACAGAAAAAGCATCCAAATGTCCTTATTGTTTTATTGAAAGCTAAAAGTAAAGGAAAAATTCTTCCCACAATCCCATAGTGATTAGGGGTGGGGTGGGGGGTTGTGCTAATCGATATCTCCCCATTCCCTTAGAAAAAGCAATCTAGAACACTGAATAAAACAAATGGTTAATTTTTCCTTTATACAAGGAAGCAATGTTTTTAAGCACATTATTCGTATTTTATGAGACAGAAACACAGGAAATATATTAGAGATCACCAGAGTTCCATAACTGTCACCAAATTCTTAGCATGTCTTTTTTTCCCATTTGCTCATATTCCTTCTGTTGTGTTAGTGAAAATTTTCAGGTTTGAGCATACCCTACAATTGCTAATAGTATTAGTCAAGATAAAACACACATATTGTTTGACTGATTTTTTAACATAAGTAGTTTGCATTAGACATCCTGGTCATGCTAGGAAAAGCCCAGTATTTAGCAGAACACTATTCCCTTTACCTTAGCGCTGTTAGGATAATTGACATATAAACTGGTCATCTGAAAGCCAAAAACATAGTAGTAAGTTTGGACAGTATCAGTACATAAATCAATGCCTTGATTTTCTCATGGTTAAAGAACGTAAAACAAAAAAAACTAACAAAAAAAAAAAACAAAACACAACACAGAAACACTTGGGGCTCCATTTGATGGTCAAGGTGCGCCCCCTGCTGAAAAGAAGAGAGAAATAATGTTGATACAGCTTAAATTCACCGGGCTCTTCTGCATTACACCCACAACTACACGCATCTCCTTACAGTTCATCTGAAAAGCTGAGTGTAAACCCTACATTTTATTTGACTCAAAAAAATGTGACGTTGAATTGTAACTTGCACATTATAGAGGTTCCATTCAAAAAATTCACCCAGAAAATCTCTAAACAGTACTAGCGGTACAAAATGACAACTATCACTGATTCTTAACATTAGCAAACTGAGCCTTATTTAACATTGTATTTCTCTTCTATCTAACATCTTCGCATTAATGATACGTGATTCTCTATCAGGAAAAGCCGGTTATCCCGGCTTTCAGTAGTAGTTACTATCAATCCTAGAAGTTTAAGTTCTCAAAAGTGACAGTAAATTGCCAGCAGACAAAAATAATTTGGATTAATTAAATGAGAACCAAGGAGTGTAAGGGGAAGAAAAGTTCATTCACCTCCCAGCGTCGCTTCCTGATCCAGAACCCGTGAATATCCCTTCACCTTGCATATGCCAAGACGGTGGTCTGAATAGTACCCACCCCAGGACCCTCACCTAAAGTAATTCTTTGCAGCTCCACTAAATGCCTGTCAAACCCTGCTGGGTGCACGTGTGTGTGTGTGTGTGTCCGGATGTGTCAGCGTGAGCCCAACGCGCCTCGGTCTCCGTCTCCCTAACGCCACGTCCCGAGGCTCCGGGAAGCAGATGCCGCGGGGCACGGACTCTTACCTGGGCTCCGACGAGAAGGCAACCTCCGAGCAGCAGCCACCCCCAGACGTGGGGCGACGCTCCCGGCCCGGCCATGCCCGGACCAGCCCGAGCGAGAAGACGGATGCTCACCCCGGAGCCCGGAGAGGCTCCCCACTCGCAACTTGGCCAACGCGGGGCAAACTTCTGGCCGGGAGCGCAGCGCAGCTGGGGCGGCGGGAGCGCGTCTCGGATGCCCGTCCTGCGCGCCGCCGCCCGCGCCTCGGTCGGGTCTGCCGGGGAGAGCGGCTCGGCTCCCGGCCTTGACTCACCGCCCCGCGAGGCCCGCGTGGGAGAGGGGGGCGCTCTCGGACCACCACCACCCCCCCGCCCCCGATCCCGGCGCGCCCCGCGTGGAGGCAGGAGGGGAGGGGGGACGCTCGCGCTCCTCCTCAAAGTCACTGCGTCCCGCAGCCCAGAGGACCCGAGGGCCTCGGACCCTGGGCGCTGCTGCCGCCACCCGCAGCTCCCGCCGTCTCTACTTCTGTCCACTCTACCGGCTTCCAACCCGCTGTCTCTTGGGGCGCCCTGAGTCCTCGGGGAGTGGTCTCAAAGTTCCCTGTTATCCAGAAGAGCCACCAGCCAAGGCAGGCCCTGGGTAGTGTGGTGTGCGACACCTGTGTGCTAAGCACTGTCCACAACCCTCTCAAGTTCTCTGCTTGCCTTTCTCCTAACCACTGTTTATAATAATTGTGGGGGGCGGGAGGGGGAGGGAAGGAGAGGGAGGGAGGGAGAGAGGGAGGGAGAGAAGGAGGGGGGGGGG